AAACTAATGTATTCTTTGATTTGCGGGAAAGCAATGACGGGCGAGGAGATTGATTGACAGCAGATCGAGATAATGGAAGCTTTGTGGCCCGATCGGCTACTGCAAGATAGGGTTAAAATTATAACATGTATGGAAGGCGACGTGGTTCGTTTGGAATGCTTGGTGCTAAAACTGTTCAATGTATCATGTGTTTTTCACGATTGAATGAAAAGTGACGACATATCTGCTACAAAAATCGTAATATATATATTTTATTTAAACCATGTATAATGTTTATTGAAACCTGGTGAAAAAGTATTCCAAAGAAAAAGTATATTATTTTATATTAAGAAAAAAGCGTCTATTTTTTGATAATGATATGAGTAATCTATTTACAATACCCGACAATATATTAATATGACTACATTTATTTATTAAAATCAGTTCAATCAAAATGTACTGTCAGTACAAAAGTTAAATAATATACGTCAAATATCAAAAGTTTTATCTTTTAACCCAAACGAGTCGTTATCAGCTACTCTGGGAAATAATTCGGTTAATATTTTACATGACTAAAATAATAACTGTATTAAAATTAACAGGAAAAATTGCAGCTTTATGCTTAAAAACCCGAATAGTACGAAGAATACATACATTTGTATTTCATCTGATTGGTGTGTGAATCAAGAATTGAGAAGATAAAATGCTAATATAAATGAATAGAGAAGGTAATTATTTTTGTTTATTTGTCTGTCATTCGATCTGATTATTGAAGAATATAAAAAAAGTGTTTTATTTTTTTCATAATTAAAAGATTTACGGCGTCACATTGAGTTGTAATGTTATATGACAGCATACCTTTGTACATTTTATACATATTTTAGAGGTAGCGAGTTCTCTCCTAAAATTTAATGCCCATTATCGGAGCCATTTCTTGTTTAATTGAAGTAAAAAAATATATCTTTGTAAAATTTTTCTATTATCTGAATGACGGTCTAAATGGAATTTCTTTTCCTTTACACAGACATCATCTTTATTGTGATCATAAGCCTTTTGTAGATTCGTAAGTATTATATTTAGTTTCATTATACGATAAATACAGGACACGTAAGCACGTAATATTTCTTATCAAATTTTCAATTACAAAAACGTTTATGTTTAATTTACTAACTATAAAAGAAAATTTAAAAAATAATCATTATAATGGAATGAAATTCATAAATTTTTGGTTTTTTTTTTATGGTACAACCTGTCAAATAAAGCTATTAAAAGCAAAATGTATGGTGACAATGGTAAAAACAATGATGCATGTAAAGTAAAACTAATATAAATATAAATTCTCTTCAAATATTTATGCATGCTGACGGTATTTGTCTATCAGATCATCAGACGATTGCTAGTTACTAAATGATATACTTTTGACAGGCAACAGATATTTCCGAGGAGATAATGTTGGCTGCGCCGGCGTGATCTAAGCCAGCAATACGGGTCGAGATAAGAACGATAATGTAACGTTAATGAAAGTAGCACTTATTTGGACGGCTGGAGATTCGGAAGATAAAAGCTTTAATGCAGTAGCCGATACAGAAGTTGATTTGTGTCTTGAGAAATGGTTCTGTGATAAACTTCATTAGTAATATATTGCATTGTGTAATTTACTGTTATACTATATCTGTGTGCAGGTAATTACTATATCGATAGTTATCATTTATTATGTCCACACTATTGAGGCACTGATTCATTTTTCATCCTTAACTTTGGATTCCATCCAAAGGAAAAATGGGGAATGGATCCTGCTCTGTGATCCTGTTAAAAGCTAATTCCCGAATTCAAATGCACTCAGGTGTCAGAATTCACTAGAAAAGCGGCATCCGACCAACCTTGAATTGGTAATAACGTTTCGTGGCATAAGTAAAGTAAATTTCTGAATGAGATAGAAATAGAATAATTGAGACACGTATAAATAAATTAATCTTGTTTTGTATTTTTATACAAATATGTAAGCAATAGAATTGCTATATTAAATGACGTGAATACGGACACATCAGTGAATTCGTGTTTGGGTTCGGAATATTTACAGAATCGCTCCCCTGACCCACCACACGGAGCAGCTGAAACTAATGACTTAACACACTTTTCAAATCGGGGAGGATCTAGAGATAGTACATTTTTGGTCACTTATCCCATGATCGGCTCTTGCGAAAGTTTCTTTACTTCCGCATTGTAGACCGAAAGCGTTAACCATTGGGCTATTGATTTTTTAGATTGATATTTAGTAACTATAGTTAATTTGCTGATAAAGATTACTAAAAACGAAATTCGTTGAATAAGTTATCAATGAACTTACCGTAATCCAAATAGTTATCAAAATAACAATTTTGCTGCTTCATTTTAGACTAATCGATGATGATTTCCTTTGAAATCATGGTGATTACTTTTCTATGTTTGTGAACCATCAAACGTTTGAAAATAGTGTTGTCGCTGTCTAAAACTTGTATTTTTTGGGATAGATTTCAGGACTATACAAAGCATTTTATAACTAACAGCTCGAAATACTTGAATCTCGTGACTATAAACAACACGATAGGAATATCAAACTAATTTCTTTGAGTCACACCGCTGCGATAGCTATGTGATTCACATAAGATGCAATATCGCGGCCCAGTTGAGATATTTCAAGTGTTAAATGGACATTTGGCATAGTCAAATAACCGAGAGGTATTAAAACCTTGTTTGTTTATTCAAGACATATAGAATAATAATAAATAATCTTTGTCTATAAAATATTTTTGTTGACCCACCCTGTATGCCTTATTTGATATCCTACATGATCCTATCTATATTTATTTAGGTTTATCTAACAACTATTATCAATTTTAAAAAGTCTTTCGGTCAGTTGCAGAAGGCATTTGAGCTTAAAGCTCTAATTAATGTCAAATTTGTATCGGTAATCTCGCTTTAAACAAATGACAATTTTAATGGACGTTTTAAGCCGTGAATATATAATTTACACTAACGAAGTTGCGGGAAAACAGGTAGTCATCACTATAAAAGTAATTATTAGACATTATAAGTTAAATAAAACCTTAGTGAAAATGTGATTCCCCGTTTACAATTTGACTATGATGAATGTTTGCAACGACTTACGGTAATGCGTGTTTCCTGCACTTTGATGTTAAGAAGTGCCTCTTTATAAGATCTAACACTATGTAAAATAGAGTAATAAATATCACACCTATAACAGATATGATATATCTGGGTAATCCTTTTATTTTTCTGATACCGCCTTTTGAATTTACTCACCTTTTGAGTTTTTTCACCACTGGTAGAGAATACGTTTTTGGCATTAAATGCGCCGTTTACAATTTTATAAGAAAAAAAATTGAAAAAATAAATAACAGTAAGCGGTCATTCACCGGTCGAAATTAAAGAAAAATATGATTATGCATTATTACAGTTTTTATCAAAAACCATTGTTACATATTGTTTATATATGATTATTCAGCAAGTTGTGAACAAAAGTGTCAAATGCATTGTAGTAAGTGTACCTTTATACAAATTAAGTGTATTTTTAACATTATCAAAAAATATTCATCATCAACAGCTTATTAATGATCTTACTATAGAGGCACAGGTTTCCCCTACGGATGGTATCAAATTTAATAGAGAGAATGAATTGGTGTTAACTACTACAGATGCAGCCGGGTATAAAGGCTTAATGTGCCTAAAAGTATTAGCATTCTGCAATTTTTCTCTATATGTATCCTTAAACATGATTCCCTTTCCCCCCAATAAGGAAGGCTGGAGTGGGGACGTATAAGGGCTGATGATTTATTTATTGTATCATAGAAAGACCTATAGAAGACCTATTCCTGCCAAACAGAAATAGTATTAAGAGTAGGAAACAGTAAGCAGTTAGTCAGTTACAGGTCCTTATATGAAACAAAATTTACACATACAACTAGCAAAGCATTGCCTACTTGTATACAAATAAAGTTACCAAATGAAAAAATCATAGCTTAATGTGTTTATTGCCGAATATAGACTACTAATATTATATGAATCAAAATTGAAAATATTAGATCAGTTATTTAAATTATCACTAGCGCGCCAGAAAAAAATTGTTTTGCCTGTAATTAGTATGTTCCAGGAGTAGATGAGGGTTAATTCTTAAATGCTTATTAGGAACTCTCAATGAAAATTATATATAAACTTAAACTGTGTTAAAACATTTGGGACCATACTTTTAGTTTCACGATTTATACGTAGATAATTTAAATGAAAATGTTTACAAATTAGTCAATATCAAATTAAACGATGACTCAGATTGTAAGCTAATGAAGTATCTAAAAAGTATCTAAAGCACTTTGGTAATGAATAGCAATCGATAAAGTTCATTTACATTGATCTACATAGATGCGGTGTGCGAACGATTTTTATAGCTCATTTTCTCTGTCAATCAATAATCCACCACTTTAGACTCCGTATTGAAAATAGAAATGATTTCGATATTGATTATGACTTTTAAATTGAAGAATTTCAAATAAAAAACACTGCTTATGAACACTTTAACTAGGAAGAGTCCTGATTGGCCAGCACTCTAAAAATAAATGTATACAAATTATATGTTATCATGGTATATGGTCAATAAATGTATTTTCTATTCTTCAGTCGTCCCTTAGTTTTTTATAATGACGAAACGTCGAAGCAGGTCAACAAGTACATTACAAATGATCGATTGATGTTAAAAATAATTAAAACACACAAAGGGTGACTTAATTTTTACAAAACCATTTCGGTTGAATTATAACAATTATCAACCATAACAGAACACTGTTACGAGCTGTTGTTAATTAACATTGATAATTTACTGTCTCCCTAAGGTCTAAATAAGTAGTTCAGTAATTTAATCAACAGAATGGACTATGTTAACTAAATTAGTTGGGAAACTATAAAACGGGAGGTTCTGTGAGGAAATCGATTTCATTTACGTACCATACGCAGGAGCTGTCGCTTTCAAAATGAGGTATGTTTATTTTTAATAATATTTGTCGTCGTTATAATTTTGTTGTCGTCAATTTAAGACCAGTTATAGTTAAGTTATTAAATATCACGGCGTTAGCTGAGACTGCTATCTGTTTATGAGTTGATGTAACTAAGAAACTAACCGATGTAATCTCGCTTTAAATGTTAATTGATTGAAGGAACTCCATACATCTATGTATGGAGTTCCTCGTTTGTTTATGTTGCACTTAGAATAACGTGAATATAGTTTAAGATACTTTTTCTGCAACCACATATTTTTTCGAGGACAAAATAACATTTCAAGAGATAATGTTATTATTATAAAAAGTCAAAGATAATAAAAAGAAGATGTAAATTTAGTTTTTCGCTTTATGTTGGACGACCAGTGAATTTAATCTATATTAGAGCCTTGCAAGTCACCATCATAGTAATTACAAAAACTTTTTTTTTACAGAAAAGAAAATGAAAATGAAACCCCTGTTTACGGTAACGTGTGCAAGAGAAAACTGAGAAGGAAACGTCAGAGATTACTTCTGACGGAGCTGTTTCTAGACTTTTCTAAGAATACAACTCTGCATGGCTTGAGATACATTACGCAAATTGGCCTCGAAACTATAGAAAAGTAAGTGATTCATTTAATAATATTTGTCGATAATAGATATCATTTTTTTTGAAATTTCATTTAAGATCCTATTTGACGAGCTATATGTTGTCACATTTAGTTTAGTTTTATGATAAAAACATTTTTTTGGTTCATGTTCTATAAGTAGACTTCTTGATGGTCGGTCATATATTTCATTTGCAGAATCTTTTGGACGCTTACGTTCGTTGCGAGTGTCACCTTATCTTTCTATTTCATATACAACGTTTGGTATAAATGGAAGACCAGTCCAGTCATTGTCAGTTTTAGTGAAAAACACGTGTCAGTGGAAACGGTGAGATTTATAATTGTTTATTTATTTTCATAAGTACATTGACAGATTAAAATCAATACATAGAAAGGGCAGATGCTTGATTTTGAAAGTCATATTCTAAAGTGAACTTTGATATATCGCAGCTGAAAACGGTATAAGCTTTACCATAATTCAACATTTTAAACATTACTTACATGAATATGTTTTCTAATATCTAAGTTAAAACGCTATAAAATCTCAAATGGCTAAAACAAGGCTAGTGGAGTCATCTGCTTTATAAAAGACGAAAATAATTTTAATAATAATATGTAAATTATTTGACTTGACTTAAGCATCTCGTCCTAAATGACGATAATTCCATCGATACGGTTCTGTCCTATTACAAGATTAAAAAAAAAGTATTCTAAACATAAGTCACCTCTTTAACATAGTAGATATTTAATAATAATTGTTATTGTTTTGTTGATTGTGCAATTATGTAAAGACCTTTTATACGATCAAATCAAAAATACGACGTTTTAAGGGCAGACTTTGAAACGATGGACGGTGTAATGTGAACGTTGAAATTAATTATATGTATCGCTGTATATAAAACTCTGTATCTATTCCGTAAAGTTCCTCCTTTTGTTGTATGGAACGCTATAGGTCACTGATCCCACTCCGTAGAAAAATAGGCAGTACTCCATAGAAACAACGCAGAGTTTTATGGATACGTATCGTTTTCATTCGATGCTAGCATAATACTTTGGGTCATTGTCTGTTTTTCCCCTTAATAGTTTATAATAGCTCTCACGTCATCATTTTACCACAACATCGCGTCTGATGAAGGGTGGCACTGATTAGTCAAAGTTAAGTGCAAATAGGTCAGAGCATTGCACGATTAGCACATCATTATCTATCGTACGGCAAAATCGCATTGTTCGCTTATGCGATCATTGTCCCAATTAGAACACGCCCTCACAGTAGAAACCACCTCAACGCTAAAACCACACCTAAATATATTCTAAAGTAATTATCAATTACTCGTATCAAGCAAATTAAACTAGCGATACGGAATAGCAAATATGCTTATACTGTATTCATTATCATATATTTAGCGTTTCTTATTAATATACATTTTCTTGTATCCACTACTGAGACACAGGGCTATCCAATATATAGAATCATATATGGAGAACGGGCCTTAAACGCAGTTGCACAAACGTCCATTAAGGTTCAATGACGACTTAAAGTTCCAATGACTGTTCTATATCTTAAAATTTGTGTCGTTAATGACGTTTGAAACAATTACGTTTTTTTTTAAATGCCCAGCCAACATTTCTGGCCGTGCCCTATCCCCCACTCAGTAGCAGGCCTTTTTTACTCTGGATCTTCTCTTTCATTTCAGTTCTATCATCTACGCTTCTTTCATGCTGCATATTTGTTCTTTTTTTCATTCGTTCTCATTCATACCTCGAGCGACTGGGATTGCCGCATCTATTACTATCCTAATTTTAGGATATACAACATTAAAATATTAAAATAATATTGTGTCCCACGACTGCACCAAACAGGTATCTAGCTCAGCACTTGTCAGTCTGTTTACTTTTCAGAAGCAGACCGACGCCCATTTTCAGCTAGACCATATGTATTCATCACACGGACGTTACATGTATCTAGTTACATGTTTTATCTCTAGTCACATATTTTATTTCCTATATATTTCTCTATTACATTCATTTAGTTATATAATCCATTAGATATTCCTCTTATATTTACTTATTCTATTAGATTTCTATTCTAGTTAATCTTATTTCATCCCTTCATTGTTTGCTTACAGTGTTGTTTTTATTGTTTATTCGATCTTTACTATCATTTAATTCTGTTACATTGTATTTCTATATATTCTATGTCTAATTATGTTTTACTCCTTCTTTCCTCCTTTTACTTATCCAGTATGTTATATCTTTTATTTGGTTTTTACTATTAATTTGTTTATACTATCGCTATACTATTTATATTCTTTGTTCCTTATCTGTGTAATTTTCCTATTTATTTATTTATTCAAAAGTCAAAATAATTTTCATTCAAATAGACTTCTTAAAAGTACTTTTGAATCGTCCAACATTTTTTTCCTACCGCTCGTTTAGAATGTCTTTTGGCTGATAAGAATATCGTGCAAGAAACTCACCAGCTCTGATAGGAGTAATGACATTTACAAGAACCATGTCATTACCAGATCAATACATTATAAATCGAGAGAGAAAAAAAACTATGGTCTTAATATAATAACACAATAATTTAATAATAATGGAAATAAGATAATTTTTGATATATAATGAGTTTAGAAGTAATCACCTATCCAATTGCTGGATCATCTCAAGTTCAAGCATTCTTATCTGTAATATAATCGGATACCTTATAATAAGCTTTTTTAATAAGTATTTTTTTAATAGTATTAAAAAATACTTATAAAAAATAGTAGATTTAAACTGCATGATCTCTAATTGTTGTATGTTGCTTGGGACCTTAATGTAGAAGTGCACACAAAGACCCCTGAATGAGTTATAAACTTTTTGTAGTCTAGTGACAGGCACCGTTAATATATTATTATTTCTTGTATTAAAATTGTGTACATCATTTTTTATAGAAAACAAACTAATATTTTTACGAAAGTACATTAAGTTCTCGTATATGTATTGAGAAGCGAAAGCTATTACGTCTATTTCAATTTATTCAATTATTAAATTTCTCCCTTAAAGAGTCCCTAATCCTAAGATTATAAATAGATCTAATTGCTCTTTTTTGAAGCACAAAAATCGTTTGTATGTCGGCAGCATTTCCCCACAATAGAATTCTGTACGACATTACACTATGAAAATAACTAAAGTATACTAATCTGGCAATTCCATTCTTTTTGTGGGTCACTTGAGATGTATGCAATCATCATACATTCAGTGTTCCCTACTTCTCCTTCCTATTTTTTTCATATTTCTTTTTTGTTTGTGATTTGGCATAGTTATTATGTATTTTTATTATTAGTACATACATCCACACAAGCAAGCACTTTTTGATATATTTATTTGTTTTGCATAAAAGTTTTCATATTATTTTTGTTCCTTTTTTGTGTGTTATTACATGTATGCGGTAGAGGAACAGGTCAAATAGTCCCACTTATCGCGCATTTTAACTTCGCTACTAAAGGCGTTGTGGTCTGTTCTTTCATATTTTGAGTACACACAGTGGCAGCACCTCAGAGGGATTCCCGCTTTCCTGTCAGGATAATCCGCCCGCAGGTGCAGGTCTTCACAGTGGCTGCATCTGTCTGCACTTATGCAACTGTCAGAGAAGGCAAAAAATTACCAAAAATTGATACCCTGCATTCAATCCCTGTATTCAATTGTAATATCTTCAGAAGATCCCATGGACACAGCGGAGATGGTCGACCAGAAAGCAAAAAAGATTTTAAAATCGAAATAACAAAATATAAGGATAGACCGAATCAGAAAGGATAAAGACCGGAAAGTGATCATTGGATGCAGGGATAAAGAAGAAAGAAAGAAAATTGGAATCGGGTGGGGGCTTAAAAATTTAACAAGTAACTTACAAAGACCACCTAGTCATCATCAAAAATGTCATCTACAAAATGACAGCCGAGGAAATAATGGCGTCTATAAAAAACCAAAACCCGGAACTATTCAACAGCATCGATCATGAGGACTGGACAATGAAAGTAAAATATAGGAGGAAAACAAGGGACCAGGAGCGCGAATTTGATACTCCAAATCAAGCCCAAAATCTGGAATGCCATGACGCTGTAGGACACCTCTATCTAGATATGGAGAGACTTAGAGTCGAAGACCAAACACACTTAATACAATGTACGAGGTGCCTACAGTTTGGTCATGGTCGAAAATTTTGCACGGAAACAATTACGTTGTTTGTGCAACAAGCAGATTATCTATTCACTGGCCAGTGTGGTTGGTATTAACTGCATATGTAGTCAGAGTAATGGCTTTACGTGTCGTTCGAAGTGTGTGGAGCTAAGATAAATTTTTGATCATCTTCACATCGGTTTCAAGATGTTAACAACTCTAAGGTTCCGGGCCCCGTTACCCGGGCAGGTTGTAAATTATGAACTTTTCTATATTGTAGCGGGTCTGAGTGTTGAGTTACCTTCGTTATTCCAGATTTCTATAATACAAGTGCTTTAGCTGAGAAAATGTATCTGATATTATCTAATATTAAAAAATAAAATAAAATATTGGAAAAGACCAATTTAATAAGTTATAGGTATACTTCATTTATTTTGTTAAAACATTTCAGGTTCCGTTTCCAGCAGTGACAATTTGTCCTCAGGTTAAGTCTGCGAGTAGTCTAATCCTTACTTTAAGGCGGAATAAGCTCAAAAAGCTTAGTGAACCCATTGACAAGAATAAAGAAAATCAATACCAGTAAGAAATGATTGTGACTTAATAAAAATTTTGATATAATTTAAAGTTATCATAAAGAAAATGCTTTACAAAAATCACGAGTTCCCAATGCTCTAGTGGGAGTAGAAGGATTGCAAGCAATATTCACTATTTACCTCAATTAGCTCGGTTTCAGGTAGTTTAATGGTTAGAGCAGTCATCTGGATTGCGAAAGGTTGTGGGTTCGTATTCCATTTGAAACATCTGGTACTGGTGATTTTTTAGCATTTCGTTTAATTGAAATATCAATTGAACATTGTATTCACAATCAGCAAAATTAGATCAAATATATTATTATCATTCAATTTCAGTAAAAACTACACCTACAATGAAGAAGAGATTGAGGCATACTCTCTAATGTGTCTTAAAAAAGATCCCATGGCGAATTTTCCTTATAAGAAGTATATAGATGCTTCAGTGATTAATCAATTGTTTAACGTAAGTTTCATTAATACCGATGAAGGTAGATATGTTTTTGAAAATGTTTACAGGACGACTAAAAACAATTGTTTTTTTTCAGTTATCTCTTAACTCTCAGGACATATTTAATCTTTGTCACCAATATATGAGACGCCCACGAATTTGCAATGAGACATTTCAAAAATCGCTGACAAAAGATGGAGTATGCTTTACATATAATGGACTTGGAGCCCAGGAAATATTACGAGATAAGTACGTATTTATTATTTAGATCATTTAATCTTCTCTCTCTTATATATATACTAGCTTTTGCCCGCAACTTCGTCCGCGTGGTACAGTTACTTTGGGCAATATATATTTTCCAAAAACGCTGTTCTTTTTCGAGCTTATGATGAAATTACCTTGATATTTAAGTTCGAAGATACTTCAATAAAAAAAAAACAAATATCCAATATGTTTTAGTAAAATTCTTAGAAAAAAACGTTAGCGCAGATTACTTTAGAATAAACGTCATCTAGTATAGCAAGGCTTAAATTTCTTACTACATTTAAAACAGTGCGATGTAGAATACTTAACGTTATCTAGTATAGTTGAAAATATATAAAAATATTTTTTTTTTCGTAAACAAATTTACTTCCATTTGAACATTTTTAAGAAAAATAAACTTTAAAATATTTTGTTTTGTTATAAATTACATAAACACCAATTTTCATCGCTATGTAATTTAATATTTGTAAATAATATTAAATACTTTTATTACAGTGTCAAATTAAATGAACAAACAATGGTTGCTATGGTAATATTTCAATTCTCCATAAATCTTCCACTCCCGTTTGTATCCCTATAAGTAGTGGTTTTCGGAATAAAATATAACATTATGTTTTCAGGGCCTTAAATTACTAAAATACTTATTTTCATCGATTTAAAAAACAAAAAAGGTTCATAGAAACGTTTCACCCCTTTTAACTCTCTTTAAGGTAGAATTTCCAAAAATTAGCTTTTAGTATCCATGCAATAAGACGAATGTACCCTTCAAATTTCAAGTCTTTATAACCAGCGTTTTAGGTTGTGTGTTGTATACGAGGGTCAAACTGAAAGTTCTTAGAAAATCAAAAACTGATTACATTAGCCAGTTATTAGTTTTATTATATCTTTTCAAAATATTGTCCATTCACGTCAATACACCGCTGCATGCGATGGAACCACTGGGAAAAGCACTTTGCCCACTCGTCCTTAGGGGTCTCTTCAATGGCATCGCGATACGCAGCCACCGCTTCTTCAGCATTCATAAACCGCTTTCCTTTAAGTTTTTCTTTAATTTTTGGAAATAAATAAAAATCACAAGGCGCGAGGTCGGGGCTATACGGCGGGTGACCCAGTAATTCAACGTTTGATGTCGCCAAATAGTCGATCGTTCGCTTGGCGGTGTGCGACGAGGCGTTGTCGTGGTGAAGGAGGATCCTACTGCGAGGTCGTTTCTCTCGAACTTTTTCCAAGACAAGTGGCAAACAATTGGTAGTGTACCATTCTGCAGAAACTGTTTTTTGATCCTCTAACACAATTGTTGCAAAATGACCTATCCTTCCAAAGAACGAGGCCACCATTTTTTTTCCCGCACTTCGATCTCTCTTCACTTTAGTTGGCAACTCCTCGAAAGGAAACACCCACTGAGCAGATTGTCTTTTGGTTTTAGGATCATAACAGTAAATCCAGCTTTCGTCACCTGTTAGTATGTCGAACACAGCATTTGAGTCACCTCCGTTAAATCTTTCAATCATTTTACGACACCAATCCACACGATGGAGTTTTTGAGCCTCAGTCAAATTATGAGGTATCCACCGGGCGCAAAGCTTCCTGACCGCTAAATGTTCGTGGAGGATTTTGTGCACTTGACTCATACCGATGCCTAAGCTTGTCCGAATCTGTTGATAGGTCACTCTTTTGTCAGTCTCTATCATACGCCGCACAACACAGATGTTATCTTCAGTCGTCGCCGTAGAAGGCCGTCCCTCACGTAAATCATCAGTGAGATTAGTGCGACCACGTTTAAACTCATTAAACCAGTTGTAAACAGTCGCACGAGATGGGGCTTCATCGTGAAAGGCCAATCGTAGTCTATCATAACTTTCTTGTTGACTTAAATGACATCGAAAGTCATAAAAAATCATTGCACGAAAATTTTCTCGTGTTAAATTCATGATGACGTGACACAGACAATTTTCAATTTGCCGCCAAATCGTAAAACAAATGACAAATGAATGAAATATATACTCAGTAATATTGGCAAAGAGTTATATTTTCAAATTTTAGAATTATTTTTTTATTATATTGTTTATAAGTGGCCAGTTCTAAGAACTTTCAGTTTGACCCTCGTATCAGTAAATTAGGATATCTCTTCTTTTATTTTAGATATATGGTGGTGATAAATGAAGTGATGAACTTTCATGGATAGGAATCTTTTCATTACACTTTCATAAGACTATATTTTTGACTTGTCCGTCCGAATGCGCTAAGATGATTAGAGATCTTGAAGAGCTGACTCGAGAGCACGCCGCGTAAGATTACCCATGCGGAACAGTCTTCCCTCAAGTCAACTCCAGCGTATTTTAAAGATTGTCCTTAAGACTTATTGATAGTTATTGCAAAACAAACCTTTAGAGGTAACTGCAAGCGTTTGAATTGAAATGGAAGATAATTCGATATTAGGGTGATGCGAGGCATAAATACAGCCTCACCTCGTAACCTAAAGTAGTGAATCATATAGGAACTTAAGTTCAGTTCATATCTCAAAAACTTTTATATCCTCCAATATATATTTTTATCATCCTCTGGAGCTAGGTCACGATCATGTCTTTATCATAACCTGCGACATATCCCTAAAACTATAGAAATAGCCTTTCCTGCTGCACCTTAGCACTGCACTCCTACATTTATCTTACTTAACTTAATCAAGTAATTGTTTTCCGTTGCTACTTGCTACCCTACTTTCTTTTACTTGTTGTATAACCTAAAAATTAAAATAAAATATCACAAAAAAATGCGAAATCAGCGCCTCTTAGTGAGACTTACGTAACTATTTTACGATATGAGTACTTACTCTTGGCCACATAATGAAGAAGTTATACTATCAGCCGCCCATATCGTTAAACACAAATCATTCATTAATCTGGCCAGGCCACATTATGATATGGACAGCAATATTTTTCCATTTCATAATATACAAACATTTCATGAAATGGTTGGCCGCTCATGAATATTGGTCAATTCTACGATCTGGCCACGACATATATACTTAAAAACCTATACTAAGGTGCTAACATAATGTGAATTAACAAATGTAATAAAATAGGATTTGTGAAAATTATCAACTTGAAAATCTTAGGTTAAGACCTAGCACCTAATACTTTTACTCAATAAATTAATTACTGATGAAACGAAAAACACAAATAATTTCAATTTATTTAATATTTTATTTAATTTATTTAACTTGGAGCAACATTTTAATATTTTTCATTTGAAGCCTGCGCAAAGTTCTTTGATCAAAATAATAGCTCGATTTATTAGAATATACTCGCCATCACCTGACTGAAAAGTTATTCTAGGTAAATTTTCTAGCCAAAAAA